ATGTATACCAGGTTGGCCTTGAACTCACAGAAATCCACCTGCCTCTCCCTCCTGAGTCCTGGGATTAAAGGTGTGTGCCACCACACCCAGCCTCGATCTCGTTTACCACAGCAATAGAAAGCTACCTAGGTCAGGTAGTAACAAGTCCTAGTTACCAGTAACTGGAAATAGTTAAGAATTCAGGAGATGTCTCCTGTCTATTTTGTTTGTTTTCTTTTATTCGCAGTGCTGGGAATGAAACTCCAGGCTTTGTGCATGCCAGGCAAGTGCTCTACCATAAAACTACATCCCCAGCCTGCTGGGGTTATTTTAAAAATATTGACCTTGTTGGCTGGGTGTGGTGGTGCACGCCTTTAATCCCAGCACTTGGGAGGCAGAGGCAGGTGGATCTCTGTGAGTTCAAGGCCAGCCTGGTCTACATAGTGAGCTCTAGGGCAGCTGGGGCTACAGGGAGACCCTGTCTCAAAAAGACCAAAAAAAAAAAATTGACCTTGTAGGACTGTCTATTCCATTTCTTTCTGTTTGCTTGCTTTATTAAGGAATTGCTTCTGTGGGCAGGAAGGAAAAAGAATTCCTGAACATCAAACTGTAGCACCTTGTAACAACTTGAAGCCCCAGAGCGGCCCAGGCTGAGCCTCCACCCACCTGGTGGCAGGTCATCTTAACAGCAGGCACAGTGCTTTAGAAACTGGCCTCCACAAATCCAAACCCTAAAAGAGCAGTAGGGCCTGCCTTGAAAACTTGTTTGCCTTGTTTATTTTTCTAAACATCTGCCCCACTTTTTGTCCTGAACGATCATAGTTTCCAAATTAGTAAAATCAAAATTAATGAGATTTTCCATTAGTAATCCTAAGAATAAAATGATGGGAAAATCCACTAATTATAGACCATCCAGCCACGGATCCACAACTTGGATTCAGGCCTATGGGAATAGGCAGAAGGGAGGGAAGGTGCAAATGCAAGCCAACCTGTGCTGACCCATCCTTCCTGTGCCTCCTTCTTCTCCCCTGGACTTGGAGACCCGAGCACCCAGTGCTTCCTGCCTCCAAGTTCCTCGCCCAGTCCAGGCTGAGCCAGGGCCTGCTTCTAAGGACTATGTAAATTTTGGGGCTAAATTCCTGGAAACTCCAAAGTAGGGCCCAGTGTGACAGTGGGGGCATGTTTTCTGCTCAGTTCTGGGAAGCAGTTGGAGGGAGGTGGTATGCAGAGAAGGATGGGATGTAGAAAAGGATCACAAAAATTCCCCTTATACCCAAGCCTGTCAATTTCCTTTCTCCATCTCTTTATCAGTGTTTATAACTGAGCTTCTTATCAACAGGAAACGCCTGCCTGAGGGGATGAGGCAGGACCAGGGAGACTAGACGCCAGGGACTAGGAATTGTGGGTAGAGCATTGCTGCTGGGCAGCCTGGCCCAGTTACCTCAGGATCCCCAGGACCTAGGCTCTTTGCCCTGACATCTAGTGACGGCTTCAATGTACACTCCAACTGGGACACCAGAGCCATAGGGTCTGTAGGAGGGAGCCCTGAGAGGGCCTCCAGCCTGACCCTCAGTGGCTTAAGAACAGATCATCAAACAGCTCAGCTATAAAGTGAGGAGAACTGCTTTTGCCTTAATCTCCACCAATCCCCCTCCTTCCCAGGTGAGGAGAGGCCAAGTACCTGCCAATGTCATAAACAATTTGGTGACAGTCATCCCAACCAGCCCTTATGGCGTGTTTGCTTGTGAGCCTTTAGACTGGTGCCAGTGTAGGGAATAGGGGAACATGGAACAGCCAGGTGTTTGGCATAGACTTTTGCTAAAGGGGAGGAGGGGACTGTCACACAGATTGACTTCTATGCTTTAGATGTCTTAAAAAAATATTGTTCACTACCTGGTCGTGGTGGCACATGCTTGTGATCTTAGCACTTGAGGGCTGAGGCAGGCTGATCAAGAGTTCGAGGCCAATCAGGGCAATATAAGAAAACCTTGTCTAAAAGTTAAATCATCAGGCTGGAGAGATGGCTCAGTGGTTAAAAGTACTGACTGCTCTTGCAGAGGACCCAGGTTCAATTCCCAGCACCCACATGGCTGCTAACCACTGTCTATAACTCCAGTTCCAGAGGATCTGACTCCCTCTTCTGACCTCCAAGAGCGCTGCAGGTCATGAGCACACTTACATACACATACAGGTAATACACTTAAAAAATAAAATATTTAAAAAATTAAATTGGGGTTGGAGAGATGGCTCAGCAGTTAAGAGCACTGACTGCTCTTGCAGCAGACCCAGGTTCGACTCCCAGGACCCACATGGTGGCTATGGACTGTCCTTAACACCTCCAGTTCCAGGGGAATCCGAAGCCCTCTTCTGACCTCTGAGGCATTGGACAACACGGGTGCACTCACATACATGCAGGCAATACACGAGTACACATAGAATAAAATATAATATTTTTAAAAATTAAATCAGCAAATTAGAATCCTGATGGCTCAGATAGGTCTCCTAGGAGAGTGGCAGACTGAGGGTCAGATTTCCCAGGAGGTGAAGATCAAACCCAAATACTGAAAATAAATGCCCTAAAGGGATATTTGGGGCCAAGCAAGGCTCTCTAGGTGGCTCAGAAGCCCAGGTTTATCAGCTAGATGTCTTTCTTTAAACTGGCAGAAGACTGAACAGAGAATATGAGAACTGGCAGTTCTGGTAGGAGAGGCAGGAAGGGAAATGAGTTACCTGCCTCCAGCTCCTTATCCTCTGTTATCAGTGGCCCATGAACAACCAGCGGCTATTAGTAATGGTGGTAATAAAGGAAACTGCAGGGTGCTTCTCACCCTGCTGGGTCTCCCTGGACAGCCCTCCCCTCCATGTGCTCCTGCAGTTGGGGATGTAGGTCAATAAGAGTGGGTGGGTGAGAAAGAACAGAGACTCATCCAGACATGACACCCCTCAGGGCAGCAGTGACAACACTTGAACCTGAAAACTGCCTGAAAATAGATCGTGTCTATGACATTATGCAAATTGTATGCAAAGTGAAGAAGCCCTCTGTCTCTATTTCTAGCAAACTGAATGTGGCCCTGGTGGAAGTGGCTTATTCCAAAAGTTGCCTACCCAATATGATGATTGTACAGCTAGCATCAGTCCCAACTTGGGATACTGGAGTGGGCATGTGTACACTCCACCCCAGGGTCGGCCTTTGAAGCATGCAGATTTTGTCATCTCTTGGACTGTTGATCTTTTTTTTGTTTGAGACAGGGTCTTGTGTAACCCTGGCCGGCCTTTGAACTCACTATGTAGCTGAAGATGACCTTTAATCCTCCCTCCACCTCCCAAACACTGAGATTGCAGGTACTCGTGTTATCACCTCATCTGGCATTGGGCTGTTGATCTTAATGCCAGGGATGATCCTGAGGAACTAGAGCACCTTCATTGTAGGCTAATGTGAGGCAGAACTATGGGAGTTCTCGGGACCTGGGAAAGCACAGAGCTGTCCATTGCTGAGCCACCTCTCCAGCCCCAGGCCTCCTCTTTTTTTTTTTAAATAAATTATTTATAGCTGGGCCTGGTGGCACATGCCTGTAGTCCCAGCACTTGGGAGGCAGAGACAGGAGGTTTGCAAATTCAAAGACTGCCTGGGCTACAGAGTGAGTTCAAGGCTAGCCTGGGTAACTTAGTGAGACCCTGTCTCAAAACAAAATGTTAAAAACGAAGGAGGAGCTGGGTATGGTGGTGCACGCTGTTGATCCCAGCACTCGGGAAAAAAGACCAAGAAAAAAATTTTATTTAATGTACGTGAGTGTTTTGACTGCAGGTAAGTATGCCGATGCCCGCGGAGGCCAGAAGAGGGCGACGGATCCCCCTGGAACTAGACTCGCCACGTGGTCGCTGGGAACTGAGTCCATGTCTTCAGGAGGAGCACCCAAGTGCTCCTAACCACTGAGCCACCTCTCCAGCCCCCAAGGCCCCTTCTAACCCTGCTCTAAGGTTGACGTCATGGAATGCTTGTCTGCAGTTTTTCCCACTGCCCTTTTCCCAGTCCTTCATCCAGTGTGGTCGTCAGCGTGAAGATGGAGGGACCCTGCCTGGTGGAGCCAAGAGGAAGGAAAAGGGGGCCTTTGCGAGACACTAGGAACGCTACTAGTATCCCCAACTCTGGCCTCTGGAAAGGCCTTGCCTGTTGGGGGAGGGGTTGGTCCATAACCCCAGTGCAGAAGACTTTGGGCTTGGGTCACCTGGGGGTTCAGGAAGTGTAGGCCACGTTGTTCACGGCAGAAGGAATTGGGGCACCTTCCTCGTTTCCCTTCGAAAGGACGGTGGGACACTCCTGTTAAAGGGCTTGCATTCTGAGCTGGATAGCACACCGACAAGGCTCCGCCCAGCTTCTTTCAGTGGCTCTCGCCTACTTCCCTCTCCCTCCTCCTCCCTGGGGCTTCTTGCTCCGGTGGCTCAGGATGGGGCATGAAGTGCTTTCTGAACCTAAGCCTCTAAAGATGGGCCTCCAGGTATGGGGAGCTCATTCTAGGAGTATGGACTAACTCCAGACAAGGGATGGGAGCATTGGGAGAGGGAATTAAGAAGGAACTGAAGAGGGACGATCCTAGCTGCCTCTGAGAGAGGATACAAGAACCTTGATAGGTGTTTTCAGGCACAGTCCTTGCAAATAAGAACAGCTGAGCCCTTGCATGCACGCAGGCACGCACGCAGGCACGCAGGCGACGAGGGAGGAGGGCCCCAGCCTGCTGGGAGGAGCCACCGGGTTCTGCGAGGAGGAGGGAGGCAGTCGAGGGCAGGCGTTGGCCAGCAGAGGGCGACTTGGCAGGTGTGGTGATCAGATTGCTAAACGGTCCAGAGTGGGACCTGAAGTTTGAGCCCCGTGGTCTAGGCTGGGGCATTCTGGAGTTGTCTTGTCCAAGGGTAACTGGGTGGCGTGTGCTTTGGGACCCTCTCCTTTCCGACTCCTCCTGTTTCCTCTGGACCTCTGCAACTGGACCACGGCAAGAGGTATTGGTCTTGGAAGACATAGGAGCTCAGGGTTCAACCAGGGTTTATTGTAGACATACTATGTGTGAGGCTCAGGCTAAGTGCTCCTATAAACCGTATCTCCAGGTAGGGAAAGGCAGGTTCCACTCCACACACCTCCTTAGACTTAAAAGCATTTGCTGATAGTTGTGTCCAGCAGGCCTCTTTCCCTACCCTGTCCCCTATCACTCCACCTCCTCCCTTATACCCTCTCCACTTAGGATTTTCCAGCCTTGGAAGAGTTGTTTGTCCTCAGTTTTTCACTATGGAGTCTCAGGCAGAGTTTGCCCCCAAATCCAGTAGAGAGAAAATTCTTCCAGCAGAAAGGTGATTTCTGGGCTGTGTGGGCTCCAGAAATTCTGCCCACCCTGGTCTGGGAACCACTGGTCTTCGGAGCTTTCTATTTTCACCTAGTTTCACTTCCTGATTCTCCTTAGTGATGTGGAGCTAGGCCTGGGTAAGAGCTGTGATTGGGAGCAGGAAAGACACACACCAGAGGCACCAGAGGGGTCCTTGTGTGTGGGGAGGAGGATGAGTGTTCTTTTATACCTGCAAGGGCCAAGGGTTGCTAGGCTGGGTCTTCCCCAGCTTGAGACTGTTCTTGTCCCTCCCCTGAGCTCTGCCCCACCCACTCAAGGCTTGTCTACAACCAACTTCCCTTGAGCCCACCCAGGCTCCCGAGTCACCTGCTCCATACACAGGTATATATCCTTTCACATTTCCAAAACTTTTTGTGTTTTTCTAGGTCAAGTTCTCTTGACATAACACTCTCTTGGTCAAATGACAAGGGCAGAGTTCCAGGAGACAAGACCAGTGAACTTCCAGTGCTCATACAGGCTGAGGTTCAAAGAAAATCAGGGTCAGAGAAGCATCAAAGGACATCAGGACCAGATCTTAGAGTATGTCCATGAAGAAACAAAGGTTCTAAGACAGTGAAGGCCCCACTGTTGTCACATGGAGCAATATGTGGGTCTCCCCTACCATGCTTGACTGGACGTCCTACCAGATATTCTGAAAATCCTGGGTCTTACCCATCTGATCTACTTCCTTCTCCCAGCTTCATGGTCCTGTTATACCCTCAGCAGGACCCCTTGGGTTTGTTGCCCTAATAAGTCAGCTGGGATGGTGAAGGGAGTAGAAAGATCAGGTACCAGCTCCTCCAAGAGGGTGGCACTTGCTATTGGGAGTCTCGTCAGGGAGACAGAAAGGTATCATAGATCTAATATAAACCTATGAAGAGACACTGAGAAGCCCTGGGTATCTTTGACTGAGGCTGGCAAAACTGAGCGTCTTCTGAAACTGGACAGGGCTCTGTGCCATCCTGGTAGAGTGCTAGGGTAGCAGGGTTGATTTAAGGGCAGGGAAGAGTGCAAGCCCAGGACTGGAATTCCCTGGATTGGCCACCCTGGCTTAGAGCCTCTGCAGCATCCTGCCTGGGAGTGGTAGGGGGTGTGTCCTGCTGGCCTTCGAGATGGAGAACCAGCCAGGCGTCAGGGAGCCGGCTACTTTCAGCAGGCCAGACAGCCGCAGATTGGATTTCAGCCCAGCTGTATTTTTGGCTGAATGGGCTGGGGGCCAAGCTGGGCAGGCACACAGAGGGGACACCCCCTCCATAGCATGCACACTCATACTACCTCTACCCAATACATCTTCTGCTCCATCACACACTTCAGGCAGAGGAAGTCCAGTGACCCTGGGCTAGTGGGTCACTTTGGGCTTCTCTGGATCCTGGCTGAGCTTCTGGAGTGTCTTCTTGATGCGTAGAGCAGTGAGACGGGCTGACGGGTTGGGGTACCAGCACTCCCGCATCATCTGAGCCAGGCCAGAGAGGACCTGGGGGTTAGAGAGGCAGAGGAGAAGAGGGACATGGGTCAGGAACGATGGAGAGGAGGCATGGGGTGAAGAGGTAATGGCCCAATAGTGGGAGACACAGCAGGAGAAAGGACAAGAAGAGGGAGAAAGTGTTGGACCAGAGGAAGATAGGCATGGTAAGCAATAAATCGGAGAATGGAGGGAAGCATGAGAGCACGTGGCTTAGGTCCTCAGGCACCCCCACGCAGAGAAAGCTGGCAAACAGCTCTCCAAAGCACCTCGCTCCATCTCTACCTACTCCGGCCAGGATCCATGGGGAGGGGCATCTCTGCAAGCTTTGGGGGTTCTGCCTTGCCTCTTGCAGACTGAGACCCAATGTACAAGGCACTGACTGCCAACTTCTCCACCAACCATGGCTGGGCCTAGTGTGGCAATGGTGGACATTACTCTAAAAATGACTGTGGCGGGGGGGGGGGGCCCAACCATCCCAAGAAGCTTAGTGCCCCTTAGATATGCCAGCTTACCTCTTTTGGTTCTTAAGAGTATATGTGTGTGCATTTACATGTGTATAATCCATGTAGCTTTTTATGGCTATGTGTATTGTATAGAAATATACTTGTATTTGTATATATGTATATATATATGCATTTATTCTTTCAATAAATATTTATTGAGCATTTAATTGCACGCCAGGCACCAAGGTAGGTGACAGATAAAAGAGTGAGCAATTAGGAAGGGGACTTGTACTGAAGAAGGAAGGATTCAGTGGAAGGGGAAAGGAGACGAGAGTGAGTAATGGGGGGATAGGGTCAAAGTGTATTATGTATGTATGAGACTGAAAGGATAAAGTTTTTTCAAAAGAGTTAGCAAAAGACACACTGTCTACATGTGTACATGTCTGAGAGTGAAGGTTTAGATGCATGTCTATATGTTTATATATACACATATTTCTTTGTATACGTGTGAATATTTTGAAAAAAAAAAGGATAACAAAAACTCAGAAATACATCAGAGACCCTTTGATTTTCACAGATGATGGGAAGGGTTCTGAAAATCTCAGATTGAGCAGAAGACTCAGGAGGGGTGTGGGATCCACAGGCCGGGTATGTGGGAAACAGTACCTAGGACACCCAGGATCTATTTAAGAAGCAGAGGACTTAGATATAAGTTCCTGGGCTCAGAAACCTGGGTTGTGAACACCCTACCCCCATGCCAGCCCATCCCAGCCCCAGCCCCAGCTCCAGTCCTAGCAGAGGTCTTACTGGGTCTGCAGCCAGCCGGTTAGGGATGGTAGGGGTCTGCTGGTCAACGCATACAACCTTCTTCATGTCTTCAAAGCTGGGGTCATTGGGCACCATGTCATAGAAGGGTGGCCTGTAGTCCTCCACAATGCCTGGGGATTTAAGGACGGGACAATCACTTGTGACTCAGGTTACACAGCTAATCATGGCAGAGCCAGGCCTTAAACTCATCTTGTTTGACTCCTAGACTAGATCCTGTTTCAGTCTTTCCTCAGCTGTCTTCACCTTGGGCACAGGTACTACTCCCTATCTGGTGCCTGATAATAACCACCAGTGTTTACAGAGCACTTCCTGTGTACCAGACATGGTCCTTAGTGCTCTGCATTAAATCTTCACAGCAAATTTGGTCCAAAGATTTAAGAAACGTGTCTAAGATCAACAGGTAGTAAGTAACAGAGGTGGGACCTAAGTCCAGAAAACTAATACCAAATGCCATGTTCCTAATCTCCAAGCTGCACTTAAGGCAAAGCAGCTGGTGGGTGGTTGGATGAGGCCTAAAACAGGGACAACAAGGGACAGAAAAATCTAAGAGAAAGATTTTAACCCTGGTCCAGATAACATCTACCCATCATCAGAGAAGGATCAGGCCTCTGCAGACCCCACAGCCAGTAGTACCTTCACTCTGTGCCATGTTATCCCAAGACCACTTTCGTTAGGACCCTGTCTGAAAGGTGTGCCTGTGGAATGGGAGGCAGCTCCATGCACAGTCCTGTTTCCCAGCTCCAGGCAGCAGCCGTGACTATGGCCATGCAGGCCACAACCTCAATGAAGCCTTTGCCAGCTGTTCTCCCCATGGCCAGCTTCCAGGCTGCCCCTGTGCTGCTGGCGCCCTAATCAGTGCTTTGCAGAGGCCTGAGCGTGTCTAATGAGCCTTTAATCAGTGCCGGGGCTGACACCAGATTACAGTGTTTATAATGTGCAGGGAGTCTGTGTGGGGCTGACAGAGCTTCCCCTCCGCCCGGGGAGCCAAGGCAGCTCCGCCAGCCCTCCTTTTCCTGCCTGCAGCCAGGCCCAGGAGTTCTGTGGCTTCATCCAGGTGTTCCCTCTCCAACTCCAGCCTCTTATAACTGACTCTGGCAGTTAACACCTAGGAACTGGCATCCCTTGACAGTCTCCAGGAGGGACTGGTGACACCTCAGCCTCTGCTTCCAGCAGATGACCACTGAGGAAAAATGAAGTTGCAAGGGGCTGTCTTCTGGTAAATGCTCAGAAAATGAGAAGGGCCCTGTCCCCATGGAGCAGGGCCCCAGTCATGCTTTGAGGATTGCCTCTAAATGGTCAGCACTCCTGGCAGCCTGCACAAAAGCTGACATTGCTCCAGCTGGCTGGTTCAGTCAACCTTGCATCCTCTATCTACCCCAGGGTTGAGAGGTCAGTGACCACAGGGCTGCTCAGGGCAGGTGCCTTTACCAGCTTCCAAGTTGGGGGTCTCCCATGGCAACCCACTGTAATAATGAAGCTGCAATAAGCAAGCCGCACAGGCACTGCAATAGCCTGTATTTTTGTGGAAGAAATCAAGGATTGACATTTAATCCCCACAGTAACAGAGAGCACAGCATCAGATGGCCTGGTTTCAGACCCTGATGCTACCTCTGGCCAGCTGTAATCCTGTGCCTCAGACTTCTATAAAATGGAATATTTTGTTAGGCACTCTTTCTATTACAGCAATAATGACTCCTAATATTCAACTCTAGATACTGTTTTGTTTTGTTTTTTTTTTGTCTTTTTGAGACAGGGTCTCCCTGTAGCCCCCGCTGTCCTGGAACTCACTATGTAAACCAAGCTGGCCTCGAACTCACAAAGATCCACTTGCCTCTGCCTCCCAAGTGCTGGGATTAAAGGTGTGCACCACCACGCCTGGCTAGATACTTATTTTTTTCTGACAGGGTCTCACTGTGTAGCTCTGGCTGACCTGAAACTCACTATGTAGACTAGGCTGGCCTCCTCCCGAGTGCTGAGATTACAAGCGTGAGTCACCAAGCCCAGCTTCTAGATATTGTTCTAAATACATTATTTGGATTATTTCCAAACTACAGTTATTTTTAAAATTTATTTTTATTTTATGTGTATGAGTTTTGCCTGCACATACCAAAGTATACCACATGCATACAGTGCCCACAGAGGCCAGAAGAGGGCATCAGATCCCCTGGAACTGGATGGTTATGAGTTGTCATATGGATGCTGGGAACTGAACCTGGGTCCTTAGCAAGAGCAGTCAGTGCTCTTAACTTCTGAGCCCAGTCCCCCAACTACAGTTATTTTTAATTCTCATTTTACAAATGAGGAAATTGAGGCACAGGAAGGTAAAATAATGTATTCACTGTTGTGGCAAAATGTGGAGCTGAATTCAGGCAATCTTATTCCAAGCTTATCCTTGATTATGAACCAATGCTACCTCCCTGCCAAAACAGATTTCGATAAGCGAACACTGGCAGAGTATGTAGCATTACATACACTTAAGTCCAACGAATGTCAGCTGCTTTTGTTTTGTGCTCAGAATTGAGCCCACGGCCTTGAATGTCCAGGAAACACTACCACAGAGCTACATCCCCAGTCCTGAATATTTATGTTTTTATCACTAACCCATGATTTTACCACCCAATTCACAGGCTCAGACAGTCTCAGATGAACCTTCAAAGGCCACACAGCTGACCTAGTTAGTGGGTGGCAGTGAAGGGAAGTCAGGAGATCTAGCCCCAAGCCCTCAGGCCATGGGTATCAACCACACCACAGGAAGCCCCATTAACCATCCATCTGATCCCCTCCCCCCACCTGCATGTGGTGGTCCCTCACCATTGATGATGGTCCTCCGGGCAATCTCCCACAGCACCAGGCCAAAGGCCCAAATGTCAGTCCACTTGTACGACTCGAAGCAGTCGGTGCGAATCTGCTCATCCAGCACCTCGGGTGCCATGTACCGCTTGGTGCCCACTCTGGGGTTGTTGCCAATGTCCAGGTAATCACTACCCTGGGAATGCATCACTGCCAATCCTGTGGATATGAGGCTTGTCACTCCTGCGGGGCCTCCACACAGGGCTGCCCAGGCAGGCTACGGTCCAGATGTCAGACATGGTGAAGCTGGAGACAGATGGACACAGAACAACAGGGAAACAGGCTCCTGCCCTTAGATGAGCTACAGGGAGAACACCTGTGCCAGGTACCCTTCCCAAGGTACATTCCCAAGGTTCCCAAGAACCCACCAAGATGTGAATAGGCAAGTGGGCATTATGATGCCCATTTCACATAGTAGAACGCTGAGGTGGGTTGGCAGGAGCCATGTGCAAAGAAACACCATACTGAGAACCCAGGTTCCTGGCTCCTTGCCCCTTTTTGGAGCTAGAGTGGGTGGTGGAAGGAATCTGGGCTAGAAGAAGGTGTTAAGACAATCTGTGGGGAAAACCATCAATTGTCACCCTGCAGAAATAGGTAGTCAGAACATGCAAGCCCTGCCCCCATCCCACCCCCGCGGGACCTCACCCCTCCACTCACCCAGGTCAGCAATGCAGCACTCCAGGTTGCTCTTGACAAGCACATTGCGACTCTTGAGGTCACGGTGGGCGATGGCTGGTTTGCCCTGCGTGCCAAAGATCTCCACGTGCAGGTGCGCTAGGCCGCAGGCCGCGGACACCGCTAACCTGAGGGCCAGCTGGGGCTCCAGCGTCTGCCTCTGCAGAAAGTCATAGAGGGAGCCGTGCTCGTGGTAGTGGGTGATGAGCCACAGCTGTGTGCTCGAGTTGCGCGAGGTCATGTCTGAGGCGATGAAACCTGTGAGGAAAAGGGTGCGGCGGTTCACTCAAAGCAGCGGGGAGGGGGGAGGCTGGTTGGGTCAGGGAAAGGTAGGACTTGGGGGTTGGGGGGTGGGCAGGGAAGGGGCGGGTCAGGATGAAGCTGGGGCTGGGGTAAAGATCGATGGCTTAACTGGAGCCCGAGGTTAAGACTGGAGGTGGTCTGGGAGTCTTCAGGGTTAGATCAAAACCAAGAGGTCTGTGGACTCCAGCCCTGAACCAATGGGTGTGAGACCCCTAGGTCTGGAGTAGCAGACCGGCCCCCCCCCACCCCCCACCCCCTTGCCTAGGATGTTGTCGTGTCTAAGCAGTACTGTGTTGTAGATCTCTGTCTCCCGGAACCAGGACTGTTCATCTCGCGAGGAGAAGATCTTGACTGCCACACTCTCACCGTGCCACGAGCCACGCCATACCTCACCATAGCGGCCCTTTCCTAAGCCATTAACCAGAGGGGAAGGGCAAGGATCACATCCTGGACACACAGAACCCTGCAGCCCCAGTCCTGGATGCTATGTAGGCCCTACCTGCAAAACTGGAATTGAAATTATTCATTCATTTACTTATTTATTTAATGTGCTTGAGTGCACACTGCCTAGGCACAGGTGTGGAGGTCAGAGGACAAACTGAGAAGAATTGGGTCTCTCCCTCCTAACCATGTGGGTCCAGGGGATTGAACTCAGGTTGTCAGGCTTGGCACCAAATGACTTTACCAGCTGGGCCATCTTGCCCCAAACCTGAATTTATACAAAACTTAATCCACACCTAAACCTAGCTACAGGCCACCCCATCTCTGCTCCTGAGAAAGACCTAGCCCTGGTCTGTGACCAACCCATTCCCTGCCCAGCAGTATCCCCATTTTGATGGCCCCACTTGTGACCCTGGAAGCCAAGAGCTCCCTCACCTCTCCAGGCTTATGGAAGCCCTTGGTCCCCATCCTGAGTTCACTCACAGCTTACCCACACACTCCACCAGGGCAACCTGCCGTGCTACAGTCCTCTGCACCAGGAAGGGGAGCCCTGAGCCACTGCCTGTGGTACAGTCGCTGTCCAGGAAGTCCTGAGGATACCAAGTAGCTACTGAGAGGCTAGCCCCCACCAACCACAGTTCCCTTCTCCATCTTAAACTTGGGTCCCACTGCTATGTTATTGCATGCTTCTGACTGCCCAGGCCCCTGTCCACTGTTATCTATGGGTGAACCCCTCTGATTCTGTATCTCCTGTCTACACACCCACCCTCCACCCTAGGTCCCAGGTTCCCCCAGGCCCATACCCCTAACATGCTGTCCCCCTGATCGGATGCCTTCAGGATGAGGCTGGGCTCGCCCAGGTCACTGTGCAGACCCCGCTGCTTCTCCTGCCTCCGCCGGACATGCCATAGGCCCAGAGTGCCCAAGGCCACCAGAACCAGTAAAGCCAGCACTGGGCCCAGGATCAGAGGCAGCTGGCCATCTATTCCCGGCTCTTCTGGAGGAGTTTGGGTGGCTGAGGAAGGGGGACATTGAGTCCCAGCTCCACCAGGCCAGCTCCCCTGCCCCTGGGCCAGACCACTCATACAGTCAGATCCCAGCATCTTGCCTCCCCACAGCCTCCCCTTTTGATCTAGAGCATGAGAAGAGAGCAGGGCAGGGAGGGCAGAGTCTGAGAAGATAGGGAAGGTGGGTGTGTGTCACTAGACATACCCTTCAGCACCAGGGTCACATTGTGGTTGCAGAAGTTACTATAGCAGCAGTAATGGTTGACAAACTCTGTGGAGTGCCCCCAGCAGAGCTCCTGGTTCAGGCTCCCGCAGCCCCGATGTTCCTGGGGGTGTCTGCCTTCTTCACGTACCAGCACCACTGTGCACCATACCCCCTGGCAGGTAGGCCCCTTACAGTGTGGGTTCTCACATGTGCATGTCACCAGCTGACCCCGAGAGGGCTTCATCGAGTCTCCTGAGAGGCACATCAGAAGCTCTGAGAAAGCTAGACATTCTTTCCCACTATCCCTTCCCTTCTGATCTCTCAGGCAAACCCCTTGAAGCCTTGGTCCCTTCCTTCTATCCTCTAACCGTCCTTCCTTCAGAGGCAATCAGACAGGCAGTGGAAGACTGAGAAGCCAGCTTCTCTGTCCTGCCTATCCTGGGACCTTCTCTTCCAGTTATAGGCCCTGCCCTGGCCCCAGCCCCAGCCCCAGCCACCAGGGCTCTCTCTACCCATACCTGAACACCCTCTACCCCAAATGTAGGTTACACAAATGGAGCCCCACCCTGCAAGTCAGTATCAAGCAGACAGAAAGGAGGGTTGGGACAGCTGGGGGCCTTGTCTACAGGAGCCTCCTGTCTCCACCCTCCAGTCAGGCTCTTGTCCTCCTCCCCAGCTCCTCAGACTCAACTGAGGAGCTGAGCTGAGCTCAGCTAGCCTTTCTCCATCCAGGCCCCCTCTTCCCAAGCTGTCCCCCTTGTACTCACCCTGGGTCAGGCCCAAGGCCATCAGCAGCATCAGAAGGTTCCTCCTGGGGGCCCCAAAGTTCATGTTCTCTGGAGACAGGAGGAGGAGAGGAGGTTCTGTGAGATCTGCAAAATGTGACAGCTGTGGTACCAGGAGGAAATCACTGGAAGTTTTGAGGGGAGGCAGGGAGGCCACCTCCCTGCTCCTATGGCTGGCTTTAGGGCGGGGCCTGCAAGGGAAGTCCTGGTTCACTTCCCCATGGAAACCATCCTATTAGGGGTGAAGGGTGGAGAGCTGTGTTTAAGTGATGAGAGCCAGAGGGAACCCCAGCTCTGTACCCCACTGCTGGGTTCAGGAGCAAAATGGGAGGGCCACTGAGGGGCTCAGCTACAGTGGAAAGATCATCTCTCCCACAGCGCCCCTCTGTCCTCTGCCACTTGCCCACACCTCCCAGCCTCCACCCCTACCCACCCTTTCCCAGTGCCCCCCCCCAGCCTGGCTGCCTCAAACATAAACAGGCTCCTGTCTTCACTTCCTGCCATTCAGGGTCCAGCCAGGCCAGGAACAGGAATCAAGATTGTTTAGATTGGGGTCTGGATAGAACAGACTGGAGTCACGCACAGCAGGGAGCTCAGGGCATAGTAGTTAAGGCAGCTAGAGCTCGGACAAGGTCTGGAGGGACCACCTGGGGTTGGGACAACCACATGACTGAAGCCTGTGAGGATACCTGGGAAACCATCAAAGCCAGCTCTGGTTTAAGAGGAGAGAGGAAGGCTCAGCCAGGGCAGGAGGCTTGTCCAGGCTCACTGAGGAGTCTATTGGAATCAGGAGTCCAGACTCCAAGCCCAGTGTTCTTTTCTGTGTCCTCAGCCAGTGGTTGCAGCCCCTGCCTGCATCCTTAGGCTTGTAGCAGCTATGTAAAGCCTGGCAATGCCCAAGCACGCCAGACGTAAAGAAACCTCTGTGCCTTCTCAGTGGAGTGGAAGGTACCCTCTCAGAGCTATCCTTGGCCCCCCCTTCTCCTTGTTGTCCTGGGAAAGGGTGGGGGAGGGCTAGTGATATAGAAGGGGAAGTGAAACACACTTAGGCACTGAATGTTTGCCCTTGCAAAGTTGCCTGGGTTGGACTTTTCCAGAAGTTTGATGGCGAGTGGTAAGAGAAGTTGATTTTGGTGTATGATAATCCTCAACTCAGACCCAAATCAACTGGTGCTTCAGAAGCCATTCCACTCTTCATTTCTCAAAGCCTCAGAACCAAAAGATGTGTGCTGAGGTGTAGCAAGAAGGGCTGGGGTCAGATAGCAACGGGGACTTTCTGGAAGGTGGAGTGTGCAGGCTGGATACTCGGCTAGAGCAGATAACATAAGGAAGGAGAATGTCCTGTGGCCTAACATGGGGAGGCTAGACGGGCTGGACATATGCTCACATAGCCCTCAGAGACCCGTATTCTACTCATGGTTCTAAATGAAGACCCAAAGATGCTGAGGCTTTGAGAGCAGGATGTCTGGGGGGTTTCGTGGGCCTCTCTGGCTGGTGGTATCCCTGGCCTTCCTGCCAGGGCTTCCTCTGCCCCAGAGGCCCGGGCTAGGGGAGGAAACAGAGACCTGGGTTGATGCAGCTGGGTCCCCAGCCTTTGCCTGACCTTCTGCCTCTTGCCCCTCCCAGAAGCCAGTGTGGACACTGGCAAGCACTCTGCAGGGGTCCTTCGGATGGATGCAGAGAGAGCCTATCCTGAGGTGTGGGCAGAAAGCCATCCTTGGCAGAAATCACTTGCCCAAAAAGCAGCTAGGGAAAGGGTATAAGGCAGGAAGTGGCTAACAAGATGACATTTGGCATCCTTCTGGAACCTACTACCCAGAGCTCACTTCTCTGACTGTTCCCAGGGACCCCTTGCCTTCTCTGTCACACATCTGAGTCCCATGCAGTGGGTTAGCTATGCAGGTCCTCTGGTCTGTTACCCATTCTAGACTCCTATTCAGTCTGTTTGAAAGCAGCAAGAAATATGCATTGGACTGGGGATGGTAGTATATAACTGTGATCCCAGCTGAGGCAGGGGATTGTGAAGATACTGATGCCAGCTTCAGTTCTATAACAAGACCATGAATCCAACCCCCCCAAAGGGGGGGGGGGTAAAAAGAAAGAAAAGAGAAGGTATGTATTTGTAAACAATTCCCCAGGTCAGTTTGGTGGACACCAGACTGAGAAATATGTCCTATATAGAGCCAAATCTGGTTCCTATGCTTTCACTCTGCTTTACAGGGCACTGGTAGGTGGGTGGACGTGGGTCACAGAGGGAACAGAGGGAAGGAACTCTTAGTCTCTCCCGGGTGCCTCTCCATCTCCATGAAGAGAAGGATTGATAGAAGGCTGGGCCTGGGGACTTTGTTTTACACATCAGCAGTACAGGGAAGGAATGGCAGTGCTGTAGAAGTTACCCCTGGTCCAGCTCTGGGAACATGATGGACTAAGTCTCATCCCAGATTCAGCATAGGAGAGACCAGACTCAGAGCTGACCCCACACCATTCAAAGCTACCCCGTCTGGCTCACACATAGATATCTGGGCCCAGTGGTATCCTTTTACTTCTTAGCAAAACTGTGTGAAAGATCTGCAGATAGAAGCATCATTACTGTTCACCAGAAATCACAAATGTTAAATGACTTTCAAACATTAGCTTGACACTGGGAAATAATAATAACAGGTTAACCTGCTCTGAGTACTCATTCTGAGCTAAGTACTGAATTTTAGTGGTTTATCTCTTTGGATTCTCACAACAGTCCAAAAGGAAACTGGGGCCCAGGACAGTAAGACTCTTGCTCATAGGTACTGAATATGCCTTCATAAATTTTAGTTGCCAGCAGAAAATCCTTCCTTAATTATTATTATTCCTCTCATTGTCTGGACTTAGGTGAGTCCCTCAAAGGAGGAAAAAGATGGCCTGAGTCTCAGCAGCCATTAACAATATGGTGTCATTGACTGGTGCCCTCCTTAGGTTTCATTTCATAGTATTGTCTAGAAACCATCTGTTCATTGCCAGGCTCCTCAGTGCTTGAGCCTCAGGTAGGAGCCATAGAGGGATGTGCCTGGAAGGTGACCATCAATCTTTTTCCTGCTCCCATCGGCAACAGGGCTCCATACAGTGACTGTCCCAAGGTAGAAAAATGGCTGTGACAAACTCACCCATCTTCCACACTCTGCTGTCCTTAGGCCACACAGAACAGTAGAGGACCAGGGCCAGCTATGCCTTGGCTGCCTTCACCACTCACCTGCGTATTCCATTAGTTCCTCATAATAGTGGGATATAGCAGAACAAGCCTGGTGTGCAGGGTCTCAGGCATTCACAAAGTGGCACAGTGGTCCCCCCTTATCTGAGGATAGTGTATTCCAAAACCCCCATGGGTACATGAAACTACAGACAGGACCAAACTCTTCATGCACTGTTTCCTTCTATACATAACATGCCTTTGGTAAAGTTCAATTTGTGAATTAAGCACGGTAAGTGTGCTGGATAGCTTTAGTGTCAACTTGACACACCTGGGTTGAGGGAGCCTCAATCGGGGAATTGCCTCTATTGGACTGGCCTGTGGCCTAGTCTGAAGGGCATCTTCTTGATGAGTGATGTGGGAGGGCCCAGCCCACTGTGGGTGGTGCCACCCCTGGGAAGGTGGGCCCATGTGGCATAAGAAAGCAGGCTCAGCAGGGGCCAGGGGAGCAAGCCAGTAAGCAGCATTCCTCCATGGCCTGTGCTCCAGCTCCTGCCTCCAGGTTCCTGCCCTGAGTTCATACCTTGGGCTCCCTGATGAACTGTGACTTGGGAGATATAAGACAAATAAACCCTTTCCTCCCCAAGTTGGTATTGGTCAGAGTATTTTGTCACAGCAATGAAGAACAAACTAGAACAGTAAGAAATTAAGAGAAATAAGAAAATAGGACAATTGCAATATGCTTTAGCAAAAGACTGACCTCTTTTAAAAAAATTATTTATTGTTTTATGTGTATGAGTGCATTGCCTGCATGTGTGTAAGTGCACCCATGTCATGCAATGCCCATAGAGTTCCCCTGGAACTGGAATGATGGACAGTTGTTAGACTGTACAAATTTAAAGCTTACAAATTCCTTATTTCTGGAAATTTCCATTTACTATTTTCACATCACAGTTGACTGTAGGTAACTGAAACTTCAGAAAGCAAAACTGCAGATGGCAGAGGGTGGGGGTGGGGGCTCCTGCAGAGTACAGAGGTCCAGATATGGGCTCTGGATTACAGAGACCCCGGTTCAAGTCTTGCCTCTACAACTTAGAGCTGTCAGATTACTACTTAGTCTTTCTAGGCTTAGTCTTCTTTGAGAATAATAAGTGTTATGTCTAGGTAGAATGCAGTAAAGTTACTTGGCAGTGTGTTACCCAAACTTCAGCCATACAGGTGTGGATTATACCTGTCATCTCAGCACTCAGGAGGCTAAGGCAGGATTGAGAAGTTAAACTTGAGATGGGACAACTCAGAGTCTGAGGCTAGCTCTGTCTTAAAAAAACAACCCATCCATGATATTTACACTATCCGAGACTGGAAGCAGTCTCCTCTACTGCCTTCTGGGTACAATGATCCCAGATCTGATAGGCTGTAGTCAGTACTGCATGAGAAAAACATATCTGAGTCTCTACATACTGAGTACTCAATAAACAGTAGCTATGTTTGGACCACCCCAGGACATAGGAGGATAAATGAGAAGACAGGTATTAGCACAAATTAAACAGTAAGGGATCAGAGAGGATGGCCTTAACTTGGGCAGAAGTTGTTCACCCAGTCACGTGTCCATGGAGAAGAGCGAGTGAGTGGAGAAGAGAAAGTCCAGTAGTCTCAGAGGAGTCAGTCTCCAGGGCAGGCTGACAACCTGGAGTCCCAGCCTGGGGAGCAACTCAGATTCCTTTTGGCCTGGATCCTGAAGGACACACTCAACAAAGGAATTATGTAGCTATGTAGGGTTAGAGGTGAAATTTGAGGGATGGACCCGAAATGTCAGGTTCCTTAAGCAACAGCTGTAAGCCGGTCTGGGAAAAGCGGGCCCTGAGGGGAGGTTCAACAGTGTTGAAGTGGACACTCACTGCTGGGTCAACCCAGCGCCCTGGTGGGACCTGAGTACTCAACAGAGGAAGAATCCTTTGGCCCATTTTATGGATGACCATAGAAGCATAATGGACGAGAGAAGGCGCACCCCCAGGACACCTAGCAATAGTACAAGTCTCAGGTTGGGGTAACAGGCAGATGTGTGCCCACAGCGAGGGGACAGCTGAGTCTGATGACCAGCTGGAACTGACCTCCCTCTGGGAGGTCTCAGATCCGCAAGAAGGAAGGGTCCCCTGGGGCTAGGGATAGGCCACCCTGCCCAACCCAGCTGGTGATCTCAACTCACCTTCGGGCGCTTGGCAGGACCCCTGCGTGCAGCAGGCTGGCCGCCTCTCCTCCCGGGGGCGGCCGCGGTGTCACAGCTAGAGCCGGCCTGGGGCAGGGAGCCTGGTCCGGGTGCAGCCCGGGAAGGGCTCGATCGGCGTGGCTGGCGCAGCGGCCTCCCGGGACTGGGAAGGGGCTGGAGCAAAAATGTTTCTTATTCCAGCTTCTTCCTGCCTGGCCCGGCTCCACCACTCCCTCCTAATAACCGGTTTCCTATTGCCCAGCAAGCCGACCAGCCGCAGGGCCCCGCGCTCCAGCAAGCCACGGACCCAGCCTCCCGACGGGGCGGGCCTCGGATCGGACAGTGGGATTCCAGGGGTCCGGGCCGGGGCTGTGGGAACCGTACTGGCACCGGAGACCTAGTCCGGGCTCGGGGGAGGGATTGGGGGTTGCGCACACTGAGGGGCAGCAACTTGGAATCCCGGCGTCGGGAGGGAGACCAGCACCCGGGTAGATGGTCGCAAGGTGGCAGGCCCAGAACGTTACCAGTCCTCACCCACCTCAGGGGAGATTCTCCGTGCAGGCGGTGCAGATCAGTGAATGCAGTTTGGGGCTGGGAGGGTCTGGTCAAATGTTGGCTCCACCCTCTAAGACTCCCCAGTTGGCCCAAATCCTTCTGCCTCCAGGCTCCAGTCTCTCCACCCAACAAATACTCTTCCCCTCCCCTCTTCCTCAGCTGTTGTCATCGATGCTCTGTCAGCCCAGGGCTAAACAGGCCTGGAGAAGCGGGTTCTAAGACAGCAGTGATCTGAGCCCCTCAGGACATAACAGCTGTCCTCTCCATCAGTGGAGGCCAGAATGGATGGAGAAGCTACCTTACACTTTCCTTTCAGCGGGAAACCCCAGCCACCTAATGGAGCTTTAGAGTTTGGAGCATGGACCCTCCCCAGCACCCTTATGGGGAAATAGTCTTCCTTCCCATGCCCAGCACAGGCTGGGGGTGGGTGGAAGTCCAGGCCTTACTTGGCAGTTTTATTTCTAGCCTTGTGAGTGTCCAACAACAGACTCTGAAGTCCAACCACCTTCTGGGAATCCAGGCTAGTTGTGTGCTTCAGCTTCTCAACTGTTACAGTGCCAGCCTCTAGGGCTGTGGTGAAAGAAGAGATAGTGTTCACCTCAGTTCCTAGCAAAGACTGGGCACCGTGCAACACAGTCTCTAAAGGAACGAGCCTGTCAGCTAATATTTGAGAAGGCTGAGGCATGAGTGGCCTTAGTACTCTGTGGAAGGACATAGGACATAGCAGTAATCTTCTAAGGTGTCTTGCTCTGATGTGGAGATTCTGCAAGACGAGCAGGGATGCCCCACCCTATTCTTTGGCAGGAATAGAGGCTGGGGGAGACAATGGCCAGAGGCTCAGACTGACCTCATTTCCTCTGCTGAAACCCTCCCATACCCCACCCGTCAGTGCAGCTGCTTCATAAGCTGTGAGCCTCATAAATTCCCCGGCACCACCAAATTTTACATCAGGACAGCACCATGTCCTGCAGCCAATAGGAAATACTATGGGATTACAGTATCTACTTTTCCAGATTGCAGCAGCCACTTTGTCACTGTTAGCTGCGGAACTGGGAACCTAGCTGCATGGCCATCTTTCATACCCACTCTTCCCTGAGCCAACTATGGCTTCCTGCCAACTCCCTTTCCTGGCCAGTAGATCTCTGTCCTAAGAAGTGGGAGTGAGTGCTCTGGGCTAGGACCCCATGAGACCTCCATAGCCTAAGTCCTATCCCCTTGGGAAAGCAGATGTGGGAGACCATGGAGGCAGTCAAGAGCCTGAGAGTGGCTGATGACTGTCAGTGGGGGTGGGAGACTTTCTGTAGGCATGTCTGTGAACTAAAACAGATAAAAGTAGAAGAAGAAAAGAGGGCTTAGTGGGGGATGGCATCTCCCCCCACTTCTCAGAGTACTGAGGCTTCTGGACCCTTGCTGGTGCCTCAGGGCCTCTTGTGAACCCCATGCCTCCCACAGCACACAGAGATCCTGGGGGAGGTGTCGGAGGAGGGACAGAGTTGGAGAAAGCTCTGGGGCCTCAGGCCAATGAGGACATAGAAAAGGAATTACAGACTGTGTCCAAGTCTACAAGAATTAATTGCTCTTAGGGACCAGCTGTTCCCCACATTTAGCAAGGACAGAACAAGAGGAAACAGGCCCAAAGGATTCCAATTTAGATTTAGATATGCAGGATTTCCCAGCAGTGTCTGAAGAGAGGCCTACAGATCCGAAGAAGCGAACGTGAAGAACTTCAAGGAAATCCTCCTCTGGTGGCTGGCGAAAAGAGATTTGGTGTGGAAGCAGGGCAACAGGCACTCTGACCTTTCAGGGCCAGCTATGGGTATTAAGTTCAAGCACCACTCTTTAGATCTTTTTTTTTTTTTTTTTGGTCTTTTTGAAGCAGGGTCTCCCTGTAGCCCCAGCTGTCCTGGAACTTGCTATGTAGACCAGACTGGCCTTGAACCCAGAGACCCACCTGCCTGCTTCTGCCTCCCAAGTGCTGGGACTACAGGCATGCGCCACCACGCCCCGCCACTCTTTAGATCTTTAAAAGCTCAGGCTGGCTTCAACAGGAGATCTTGTACCCTGCCGCCTCCAGCTAGGACTCTAGGTGTGTGCCACCATGCCTGGCTGAAATCTTGAGACCAAGGTTGGGCATGCAGCTTGCACAGACATTCAGGGCTCCACGTTTAGTTTAGTGCTCTGCTGATGCCGTCTTGATAGTCTTCACAGTATTCTTAATATTTTTTGGACAAAGAACACAGAAGTTTGTTTCATACTAGGTCCCCAAAGAATATGCCCAGTTCTTCACCAGAGCAAGCAGGGAGGGAGGAAGCATGGAGTGGACTGAGCTGTGCTTTGCCTCCTTTAAATTGCGGAGTGGAAGGGGTGTAGCTCAGTGGTTGAGCACTTTCCTACCGTGTGTAAGGCCCTGAATTTGGTCCCCAGCATACACACATGCACAAAAGCAGAGTGGGAGGTTTACATTGGACAACCTAGGAATTCTTCAAACTAGAAAGACACAAAGCCAGCAGAACTGGGTGGATGAGAAGGGAGAATTGTGGGGTCTCCTTTAGGGAAGAGGTAGAACAGATACCTGTAAATTACATTTATCCATCTGTTAAGTACAGGAAAGATTCTCAACATGGTGGGCTGATGTCCTGAAGGGAAAGTAAACAACCTCTCTCCCCACGTATCCTTAGCTCAAGGAAGAAGACACCAAGTCATCCTGAAAAGATCAGTAACTGTGTCGTAGGGCTGGGTTCCAGGCCTGGGTCACTTCGTTGTGCCTCAGTTTCTTCCTCTGTTACATTGAGGAATGTAGACTAGAGAAGCCAGAAGCTCTTCCCAGCCTTCTGTGACACCCTTATCAGTGTCAGGCTCTGTCACTCAGTTTGGCTGTGCCTAGGTTTGAGAGGGCAGGGAAGCCAGAGTGTAGCCCCACTCCAAAGGAAGAAGCTGGAAGACACCGGCCAGATTCCCAGACTTAGAGCTGCCAAGGGATCTTGTCTTCCTCCAGTTCTTCCAGAACTCCTCAGCCATCCTGAGCCCTCAAGGCCACTCATCTCAAGGTGGTACCTCTTGAACAAAGGATGGCATGTCAGGACAGGAGAGTGTGGAGATTAGAAGATGCCCACATGGTGCCATGTGGATAGGTGGGCATGAAGCTCAGTATCTGTTGGGAAGCTAGTCAAGCCTTACCTACTCCCAGGCCGTTCCTTGAGCTCTAAGTCACTCTGTTCCACAGGCTTCCAGAGCGCCGAACTCTCACTCCCAAATTGGTCTGACTTTGAGGAAGAGGAGAGTCATGAAAACAGCTCAAGCTGGAAGTTGGAACACTTGTGCGTGAGCCTCAGTTTCCACTCCTATAGGAAGAGGCTGGTGACACCTTTTTGACACATTCATAGACTAACAGAAAAAAGTATATTGGAAAGACCTCTACCACTTATGAATCTTGCTTCCATGTTTGGTTTGATGTATGTGTGGGGGGCGGGGGTGGCAGAGCATGGAGTAGGGAGCCAGCAGACCTATGTGCCAGCAGAGTGGCCCCTATGTCCTTACCCAAATCAATACAGGGTAAAATAAATAAAATTCTGCAAAAGAGTTTATAATAAGAAGCTAGCCAAGGTCACAGGCCTATAATCCTAGCCACTTGGAAGCTGAGGCAGGAGGATCATATGTCCAAGGCCTGGTAGACCTACAGAGTGAGTTCAAGACCAGCCTGAGTAACTTAGCAAAACTCTGCCTCAGATACTATTTTTTATTACATTTCTATTTGTTCTTGTGTATGTGTGTTTGTGTGTATGCATATGTGCCTACCTGCATGCACACCCCATGGCCTGTGGATGTCAGACAACTTTTTTTCTTAATTTTTATTTTGTGTGTATGAGTGTATTGCCTATATGTATGTGAGTACACCCATGTCAGAGGTCAGAAGAAGGCTTCAGATTCCCCTGGAACTGGAGTTAAGGATGGTTCATAGCTGCCACATGGGTGCTGGGAATCGAACCCGGGTCCTCTGCAAGAGCAGTCAGTGCTCTTAACCGCTGAGCCATCTCTCCAGCCCCCAGAGGGCAACTTTTGAGATTCAGTTCTTTCATTCCATCATGTGGTTGTGAGGAGTGAACTTAGATCATCAGGTTTAACAGAAGGCACCTTTATTCACTGAGCTATCTCTCCAACCCAAGGCTGACTCAAAATTTAAAAATAGCTAGGTAGGCCAGACCTGGTGGTACATACCTTTAATCCCAGCACTCGGGAGGCAGGGGCAGGCAGATCTCTGTGAGTTCAAGGCCAGCCTGTTCTACACAGCAAACTCCAGGCCAGCTGAGGCTACAGGGAGACCCTGTCTCAAAAAGACAGAAAAAACAGCCAGGTGTGGTGCATGTTTGTAATCCCAGTACTTGAGCGATGGAGGCAAGATAATCAGGAGTTCATGGTCATTCTCAGCTTCATAAGTTTGAGGTCAGCCTTGGCTATTAAGGTCCTGTCTCAAAAGTAAACAAACAGGGCCAACAAGATGGTTCAGCTGGAAAGGCACTTGTTGTTAAGCCTGACGACCTGAGTTAGATCCCCTGGACTCACATGATAGAAGGAGTGAGCCTACTCCTGCAAGGTGTCCTCTGGTCCAAGAACCATGTGTGTGCGCATACACATGCATGCGCACACACAAAATTAAAGAAAGGAATGAATCTTTTTTGGTCTTTTTGAGACAGGGTCTCCCTGTAGCTCCAGGTGGCCTGGAACTCACTATGTAGACCAGGCTAGCCTTGAACTCACAGAGATCCGCCTGCCTCTGCCTCCCCGAGTGCTGGGATTAAAGGTGTATGCTACCACACACAGCAAAAAAGAATACATTTTTTTAAGTTAAAATTTTTTTCTTGGTCTTTTTGAGACAGGGTCTCCCTGTAGCCCCAGCTGGCCTGGAACTCATATGTAGACCAGGCTGGCCTCGAACTCACAGAGATCCACCTGCCTCTGCCTCCCAAGGGCTGGAATTAAAGGTGTGTACCACCATGCCCAGATGTTAAAAATTTTTTTAAAGGGCTAAGAATATAGCTCACTGGTAGAGCACCTGCCTATCATACATTAGGCCCTACTTTCAATTCCCAGTACCACAGTAATAGTAATAATAATAATA